TATATATATATATATATATATATATATATATACACCTCAAGTGGTGTTCTTTCTGTGTCTAACAATTGTGAAGTTACATTTCTAAACTCTATCCAGCATTATATTGGTTTGTTATAAATTTTGTGCAAAGCTACATGAGGGCTATCTGCGCTAGCCATCCCTAATTTAGCAGTGTAAGACTAGAGGGAAGGCAGCTAGTCATCACCACCCACCACTAACTCTTGGGCTATTCTTTTACCAATGCATAGTGGGATTGACTGTCACATTATAATGCCCCCATGGCTGAAAGGTGTTTGGTGTGACAGGGTTTCAAACCTGTGACCCGCTAACCACTTGGCCATTTTGGACCAGCATTATATTGAAGCCAAATAATTCATCAATCCTACACATTTACATCAAGCAGTTTCCCTTCCCTGTGTCAAAAAAAAAACAAAACATGTCACAAGTTCTTTACAACTATATATTCCACCCAATTAACGCATCTTTCTTATACATTTACATCAAGCACTTTCTCTGTATCTAACAAATCTATATTAAACCCAATAATTCGTACCCAGACATTAACATCAAGGTTTTTCTCTTTTCCTGTGTCTAGAAAAGACTAGGTTATGTTTATAAACTCTTTACAACTATATATTCCACCCAATTAACTCATCTTTCCTATACATTTACATCAAGCACTTTCTCTGTATCTAACAAATCTATATTAAATCCAATAATTCGTACCTAGATATGTACATCAAGGCTTTTCCCTTTCCCTGTAACTAGAAACGACTATGTTACATTTATAAACTTTTTACAAGACTGTATTACATCCAAGTAATTCATCATTCCTAAACATTAACTCCAGCACTTTCTTTTCAAGGTACTCAACAAAATCTAACTTATGTATTTTTTATTGCTTTTTACAAAGATTTCCTAGGTGCTCATAATAATGCTATTTCTTTGTACTGTTTTCCTCTTTTTCTTTTTTAGAATAAATTTTAAATTACTATAAAATATAGACAATCAAAATAGTTTATTCTGACCACACGTACAACCTACCAACAGCAATCCCTGCTAATACAGGAGACACCAGGATTGAAGCCATTACTCCACTGAAGACAGCAAGTTTTCTCATGTGTTTGCCACTCTTTTTGCTTGTGTGGTATCGATAGAGCTAAATATAACCAAATCCTATATTATTCATTAAACGATACAGCTAAATCCAATATCTATAAACTAACCATCACATTATAAAGCTAAATGTTAAAAAAAAACTGCATATTAATCATCACAATACATCTAAGCCTAAACCAACACCTTCATGTTAATCATCATACAATAGAATTAAATGTTACCCAATATTTGCCTATTAATCATCACACGATAAAGCTATATCTAACTCAATATTTGCATATTAATCATCACACAATAAAGCTATATCTAACTCAATCTTTGCATATTAATCATCACACGATAAAGCTATATCTAACTCAATATTTGCATATTAATCATCACACGATAAAGCTATATCTAACTCAATATTTGCATATCAATCATCACACGATAAAGCTATATTTAACTCAATATTTGCATATTAATCATCGCATGATAGAGCTAAATGTTATCCAACATCTGCATATTAATCATCACACATAAACCATACTGCCGTTAAGCTGGGAGCTTTAGTTTGCTCAAAGGACTACACCATAAAATTTGTCCTAAATATACGATCAATGAAGAAATAATGGATTATAACCAACTAAAACACTATAATGCTGCAATGTATTAATACTTATCCTAGTAAACTAATATTATACTGAATTATAATGTACTTTTTATAATGTAATAATCTAGAACACAAACATTAAAGTGAAATACATTCTTACATGAGTATAAAAGATACATTGAATAATGAATTATTATTTAATGTACAAAAACTTTATAGTCAAATGTATTATGGTAACATCTATTACAAAAGACAAATGTCATGAGACATTAGAAAACTGTTTTTAACACTTAAATTGTTTACTATGTCTTAAATTTAAAAATTAATTAGAAATTATGAACATAAATAACTTACAATTCCATCAAAGCTACAAGGCAATTTCACTCTCAGACTTTAAAAAGGTATGTATGCATTCTTACACCAACAAAACAAGAGTAATTTTGTATATCAGCTACAGATTCTTCCTAAGCAATAATATATTTAATTTCAGTGACCCCTTAACAATATGCTCCCAGATTTCCTTACCTTCCTCCCCACCCACACAGGAATACCAATAATGATGGCGGGAACAGCAATAACAGCAATCAAAGCAATTCCAACAGGTGCACCCACTAGCATACCTAACTGCCAGATGATCTTCTTCTTTCGACTCCATGGCTTTTTTCCCCAAAATGTACAGCCTGATGGGCTATAAAATTAGCAATATAAGAAGGAATAGAAATTACAGTATTTTCATTCATATTAGTAGAAATTTAATATACAAGTTTTATATGTGTAGAAATTTTTTCTTAGCCTAGTATTATTTTCAATTATTTTTTTAGGTTAACTAAATCCTTGTACATTTGTATCTACATGTAGAATGCTCTGGAATCAATAATGTTTTAACTTTTTTCTGTCTCCATTTCATTTATATTTCATTCTTCAAATTTTCAACGTTACTCTTTACATACATAAGAACAACACTAAAACAAGTTGGAATACATTATTTTCAAAATGGGCAAAAATCTAATTATTTACAGGTGAAGATAAAAAGAATGAATGAAAAACAAACTTCAGTGTTATTATATTATAAAAACTAACCATTTATTTTTCTCCTTACCTCAGGTAGTGCAGGTCTGTGATCTCATTCATACACAGCCAACAAAACTCTGTACCACAAACACTGCATGTCATATGATTACATGAGCCATCATCCATTTTAACAATCAATACCTTGCAACATGGACACAACTTAATGTCTTCTCCTAAAAACAGCAGATAAATGTTGAAGTAATTATATAATATTTGTCAATAAAACACAGAAGTACTTTGATTATGTCTAAAATATTGCACTTCTTGATACAAGTCATTTGTTTGTTTCAATATTATAACAAGTAGTAAAATGATATAATTTATATGCCAACAATAATAATAGTGTTATATATTATTCATAAAAACAGTTGTAGTACAGAAAAACGTTTCACTAATACAACCCATTCTGTATTTGAAAAAGTGTAGATTTCACAATAGAACCTACCATTTGCTTTGAATGGAGTTAGGCAATTAACTCAATTACCTATGAGCATCATTCACAACACTTTAAGTCACATAAAATAACTAATTAACCAAAATTACAATTAATTTGATTAACTCTTTCTCTATGGAGTTGATCCTTGTAACCACAAAGTAGTCATTAGTTTCCTTATTATAACTCTTAATGTTTTGTGCATGGACTCAGAATGTTGACTGCTCTTGGGGCAAAGTGATTTTCATTAAAAAATTTCCAATTTGATTATTAGAGTAATATCTAAAAAAATAATTATCAAATGTTATAATTTTCCTATACTGAAAAAATATTTCCAATAGGTACTTACCTTCTCTCACACAAATAGCAATTCTTGTTCAATGCTGCCCTCTATATCAAAAAATGTTTTTTTGCATGCTGCAAGCTTTGAGCTCCCACATACCTTACAATCAAATGATTCAAATGTGTCTCGCATGCAAATCATCATGCGACAACCTTCCACCAATAAGAGTGCGACACACACACTTCTAACACATGTGACTCCCTCTGTTCGATTCTACTGAACTATTACTTCAAGTTTTGGCAGAAAGTGGAAGCACCAGTTTTCAGTGGAGAGGAAGGGTGAGAAGTGTGAAAGGAAGTAAAGTACCTATTAGTATTTTTTTTCGGTACAGGAAAATTAGAACTTCCGATATGTTACATTACCTCCGCTCACATAAATAGCTAGAATCCCACATTGAATAGGTGGAGGGACCAGTGTGAGGGAAAGAAAGAAGCATTTGCAGGACACATGCTAAAAGAGTAGATCCTCGCAATAGAGGATCATAATGGGAGACTGCACCACTTCTGTACCAGGTATACTCTTTGCCCAGTGTGGAAAGAGGTGTCGCAGACATGGGCGAGAAATTGAGAGGAGCACATCCAAAATGGAAATAACAATGGTTGGATAGTCATCCAAACCACACAATATTGAAATCTCAATCCTTTAGAGTATATCAATGTTGGTGAGAGTAAAAGGATGTGTAAATCAACTGCATCCAAAACACAGGCTGCCAGGAACCGACATATACGTGGGGGTAGAATGAGGATCATATCATAAGTAAGTCAACTACAATCCAAAACCCAGCCACCGGGAACCAACATCCATATGGGGGTACGAAAGAAGATCATACAGGCAGCAAGACAACTACAATCCAAAACCCAACCATCTGGTGGGGGTAGGAAAGAGGATCATATGGTCTTCAGCTAAACTTTATCACACTAGAGGGAATCTCGTACCTCCCGATCCATGAACAGGACATATGATAGCAACATGAGAAATTGATTGACTGATCCAGAAACCTGCCTTCTGGTATCATAGAGATGTTTTTGTAATGTAAACCATCTCACTCAAAACCAAACTGACAGGAACCAACCCTAGCACAATATCATCCTTGGAATAATAAAATCATCGAAGGATAGCGTAAGAGGAAGAACTGTATTAATCCGCAAGTACCTCCTTCGTGACCCAAAGCACAGATGGAAGAACAAGAGTATAATTGAGTGAGGAAATAAAGACCCCTGTAATACATGTGTGAGGACTTATGTTGATTGATTCAGCTCTAGATCCAAAACCCAACCACTGGAAACCAACATCAATGTGGGGATAGGTGGGGGATCCAAATAGAAGGGGTGAAATACAATTTTGATGGCTCGCACCAATTAGACATAGTCATGTACACCAGCAGAAAATCAACGCCCTATTCTCAACTGAATGGTTTTATCATTATATGTATATTATATCATTATCTCATTTAAGAGGATACCTCCATGGTCCACCACCCTAGTGGCTTGGAAGTGGAAAGTGGTAAGGACTTCCATATCCACTGGAAGAAAAATTATCTCTACTTTGGCTTAGACTAACATAATTACAGTGATTTGCCAAAGTAGGAATAACTTTTTTTAATTTTAGGTAACTCAGTTTTTATTTTCTTGTTTAAATACTTTTTGCAGAATTAAAACTTTCTATATTACTATAGCTAGCTAGGTTACGTACATATCAATCCCTACTTGTCTTTATAAAATCTTAAATTTTTTTTATCATACTTGTATAATTACAGACACTGATCACCTACTCTGAGTATGTCAGTTTACTATCCTACATATCATTGTGATTTTCTACCACCTACTGTGCATAATCATACATGTAATTATATACACTGACCACCTACTCTGTGTATGTTAGTTTACTATCCTACATATCATTATAGTTTTCTACCACCTACTCTGTATGATTGAGTCCTGACTGAAAGACACTGATGCTGAACGTGGGTGAGGAGAATGGCGAGCCCTCTGAGCTCGGGCAGCATCACACGTCTGATTGGGATGCCACTCCTGCTTACAATGGTAACAAAAATATGTATCACATCCAGGTCGTTTGCATTTTAGCTTGGGGCAGCTTGCACAACCAGTTGCTATCACAACGTAACTATGGAAGAAAAGCAGAATTTCAATTTTTAGCTTAGTAAACATTTAACAAGTGTAACATAAAACTTACTGTAACTTATAACAATAAAGCCTTGAGAACTTACCCACAATCAGGGGCTGGGCACCACCTGGCATCTGGTTCTGTCATTAATACACGTCGAATTGTGAAATCTTCATATTTACCAATAACAGATTCATCATTCAAGATCATTCTAATGTCGTTTGGATGAAGAGGCTCAGTACACTCTGGACATGAGATGTTCACCCTATCAATAAAAAACTAATTAACATGTTTTAACTTGTTTCTAATTGCTCAAGTTTACTAACAATAATTTTAATGAAAGTATTAATTTTTGCTTTAGTTGATTACTTTTTTCTGTTATGATGAAGTGATGCTTGATTGACACAGAGTTACCCAATTTATTTTCTTGTTGTAATACAAAACCCATGAGATGATATATCAACACACAAATACCACATACAATTTGTGACCTTTACTTCTTTTATTATGAAAATTGTAATGTTTCCTTTCAACAGTCATCTAATATACGTTAAATGTTTTTCATGTATTTTGTATTATTAAAGAAACACTATCAATTCTATGCTAGGAAATCTTTTTTTTTTACCTAATTAGATATATGCCAGTAATTAGTATGCTCTTAGTACCCAGTCATACTTGGATTATATGTTTGTATACATAAAATGAATGCCTTACTAATATGCTGCATTTGATAACAACACTTACAATTTCAACACAAAAACACATCACAAAACTTTAAAGTAGTTAAATTTCTTTTTTTAGATTTAACTTTATAGTGAAAAAAAAATCCATTCAACCACCCATACACCAGTTTTCATACCCCAAAACACTATTTTCAAATTACCTAAACTACCACCTAATATTATAAACTATAAAACTGTGAACTACAAAAGTAAATGTACATTATTCCTAGAATTCAACACATTTTTTTGTCCAGAAAGAGAGAGAAACAGAACAGAAATTGACATAATCTCTAGATACTGAGATTTACAGCTTAAAATAGCACTACCGAACTCATTTGCTTGCAAATAGCCCAGTTACACTTTGCCTGGAATGTGGCCAACAATCAGAGTTGAAACATACTATGTCAGAGAAATTCTTAAAAATCTAGGGCTATTCATCTTAAAGTGTATGGTAGCGTAAGATACATAATGAAATACTGCCCTGCTTTAGTTTATAAAGAGCTTGTCCAATAAAGGTTACTTTGTATGATATAATAAGACTTTAAATGAATCTTTTAAGAGTCGTACATGACAATTTTCTTATCAAAGATGATCTTAAATAATAGCATTTAGAATTAATATTATATATATAATTGTCCTGTTAAATGCATATCTAACAGATTCACACTGATGTATGTAGATATTTTTAGTAATTTATATATGTAGAGAAAATTTTATAAAAGTAACTGGAATATTAACAATTTTACATTATTTACAGTTGGAGTCTTTACTTTTTGCACAACATACATTCTTTAACTTTTCCCAAGAAATCAGTAGCACATAGCTGTAGCAATAAACATAAATTCTTCCCACACACATAAAAACAAACAAAAAACATGGAACAAAGATTACTTAAAAAACAAAAACTGATGATTATAGCTAGACATAAAATATTTCAAGACATACCAGTTTCATTTTAATTTTTTAATTGCTAAAGACCAACTTCTTACAGGAGGCTTTGTCAATTTTGACCCCCTACAAGAAACATTGTTCCTATGGCACCACAGAACCCCCCTCCCTTCTACTTTCTTTTAATCCCTTCCTTCTCTAAATACTAGTCACACCCCTGCATAGATGATGTATTCTTTGGACTATTTCTAACAATGGAATTCTAAAAAAAATTTAAAAACAAAATAAACAAACAACTGTCCTGTATCTATGTAAATAACTTGTACCTGTCAAAATGTTGTACATTTGTTACTTGTAATAAAGTTTTTCATTACCCATTCAAGTCATCTCCAAACTTTATTTTCTAAAAGTGGATTTCTTGTCATTAAATTTGAAAACAAATCTTTTGTAAGGCACAAAGAAATATATAAATCTATCAGAGTTCCTACCTGCTTTCAAAAATTTCAATTTTGAAATAAGTCTGTAAGCAGTTAAAGCAGGCACGATGTGAGCATGAGCTTAACTCAGGGAAGCACTGAACTGGTAGTTCAAGCAGACAAAAGGGGCATTCTAGCTGGTCCATCCCTCCATTCTGGGAAGAATCGGCAAGTGCCTCGCTGCGTGCACTAGACAAAGAATTTGACTCTGAGTCTGAAAACTGACTCACTGCTGAATGCTTGAAGAATTCTTTAACACTTGTTGGATCTTGTGACTAATAAAGAAAACATTAAAAAATATACCATCACTCAATAAGTTCTTATTTTCAGAGTATACAATGCAATCAAAGAAACCACAATTGATAATAGCTTACAGAGAATAACCTTTTTATTTAAATGACAAAAAAAAGACTATTCATAAAATAAGCTAAGTTCACTTAAGAGAGAGAAATTTAGGAAGAATTATTTTCACTTTTTATGAATGTAAACATTATAATGACAAAACATGTTAAGGCTTTAGTTGTCATTGTGTGAATGCTATTGGTGATGAAGCATGATTATAATAAATTATATTTGACATAAGACAACAGCATTAGGCTTACTATTTTCTAAACATTACATTTTTTATTCGGTCCCTTAGGGTTTTCTGTGAAGAATAGTGTATTATAGTATTTCAGCCACACTATGTTTACCATATCCATTGCCTGTGACACACTTCACTTAATACTGAGCTCATCAGACTGGCTGGGATACAAGTATAATAGTCATTGGCAGTGGATAGGGTGAGCAGAGTGTAGTTGAAATACTATTATGCACTTTTATTCTCAGAATAACCTAAAGGACCAAATAAAGAAAACAGTATTTAAAAACACAATTAGCCACTACTATTTACTGTCTTATGACAAAATATAATTGATGTTTTGGCTTACTAAACAACAGGAGTTTGAAACAAACTTTTTTCATATAGACATTGTATCAATGAAACTATTGATTAAATTAAAAAGCAGCTCGAAACGGAAAAGTTTGCTTAGCGTCAAGTACTGAAATGTATCATTGGACATGCTATGGTTGATATCATCATCGGACTTTAACTTTTCAAAATCTACCTGTTTCTTGATTATTAACAATAACAAACAAGTACCTATTCTTTAACTCTTTTCAGAGATATTTCCATAAATTTGGTATTTCATTCATGACTTTTCTTTAACCATGTTTTAACTTGAAACTTATAGTATCACTCTTATTTTTGCACTCCAAGGGTAATTAGAAGGCTTTGATCCTTGTTCATATTGTAACATAAATATTAGTGGTCTTTCAAAATTTAGTATTAAATAGATCTTAACTTATTTTCAGTTACTCTTTATTCTTATATGTAACAAAGATTGTTAGATATACAAGACTGTTGGGTTAATGCGAGCGTTATGTTTCAGATGGTTTAACTTTAGCATGAGTGTTAAATTTAGTTATTTTTAACAGCAATAGTTTAACACAGGTTTGTTTACGTAACTGTGTATGAATCATACATTGTAGTTCAATTCATGTTACTAGGACCTTCTAAGTTTTTCTTGTTGTATTGATTGAGTATCATTGCATCATAATATCTCGTAGTGTGCAGAACATTCTAAGCCTCTGTTAGTCTATAAGTGTCCAAAATGTAGTGAGAGTTAGATACAATAGATAGATCTAGAGTGCATGATTGTGAATTTAGCCATAAAGAGCATATAGTGGTGATTTCTAAAGTGAAATTATTACAGATTGTATTGTAGTAACAGAGCAGAAAAGAACACTTTTTCTTGTCAGTTGTGTTATAAAGTAATTGAACCAGCCTGTGTGGACTTTGATGAAAAGACACACTAATTTAAAGCTATGGATACAACTGTGGTAATTAACTGTGTAACAAACTATTGTATATTTATATATTTGACTTCTTTGAATATATTAGTTTGAAACAAGTGGATTATGTGCTGTTTGTTTATTATTGAAATTTATTGCCAACAAGTCACAGACACCTACTGTAAAAAATCCAGGACAAACATGCATAAAAACCTGATAAAGTTAAATACTAATATAATACCATGTGAGATGATAAGTGTAAAACATTTCTTTCAAGTTAAAAAATTCCTCCAATACATCTAGATCCTAAAATAGGCTATGTGACAGTTCAACATTTAACCCACACTATACTCTACTTGTTGTGGACTGTATGTTTAACTAGCTGCAGACTAAATATTCCAATACTTAAAAGAAACTACATACTTAATTTGCTGCTGTAAAGATATTCCAATTATTTAAATGTATGTCCAACTTGATGCTATAGAAACATTATGTTTCAGCCTTTCATTTCAGTTCTTTACATGTATGTATATATTGACTGAGCTTAAAACTAGATCTTATTCTTCAAGAACACTGAGATTTTCTACAACTTTCATCTAATTACAAAGCTTACTTTTCTATTGACTGGGTTACCACCCACAACACTAATTTCTGAACAGTTATCAGTTTCTGCTGGAACAGGTCGATGCCGCCCATTTCCACGACGACCAAAAGAGGCACTGGTGAAAATGCGACCAAGAGAGAGACGACTGAAGCCATGTTTACGAGATCCTGGAGAAATTCCATTAGTAAATGTGGTGGATGAGGCACTGGCCATTTTTTGACAGATTAACCTCCAGAATTAAACCAAAGAAAATGGCTGCTATTAGTACACACTGTTTTCTTACCCCTTAGATGGTGAAGCTTGCATCTAGAAAAATTAAAAATGTATTTTGTGATATATGATTAATTAAATAATGACACTAAAAGTTTCTTGGTTGAAACAATACAAATTTATAATTAACAAATGAAAAAACAGCAAGTTATCAAACTAGATTAAGGTTTGGTTCTAGAGAAAATTGTACATGAACTATGTAAAAGGTCTCCTGTTATTCATGTAGGAAGCCCAACAACCCGACAGTGTGGAAACAATACTCCTTTCACTCAATGCAGACAAAACAACAAAGGATCACAGTTAATATATATCCTTTACTTATTCCTTATAGAAACAAGCAAATCACCATAGAAACAAGACTCCCTTTTTTACTCATTTAGATAAAACAACAGAGGAACACAGTTAATTTTTATCCTCCATAACACTGTAAAACTAGACCTCTCTTTTTATTCCCACAAAAAAGTACAAGGGGCTATAAAAGATATTTTGTTATGACTATCAAAAGACTGTATAAAATTCCAATCCTTCTTACTTCAAAACACAAACTGCTATACAGAATATGAAACTAGTACTTTTCTTAGTGTTTCACTGGTATATGCAGTATGTACTAGAAACAGTATAAAAGTACATGCAGACTTTTCCTACATACCTAAAGTAACTGAAAAGTATTACAAACCAAAAGCCCATTTTTACTTCTCGTTGTGTAGTAGGAGATAAGATTGTAAAACTAAATGTCAATAGGCCTGATAGGCACTATAAAGCAGGGTGTTTTTACAAAGGAAAGTAAGATACAGATACTAAAAATTACACTATTCTTACTCTCCCACAAATAGTACTAAATGAACATTATGAAAAAGAGCACTTCCTTTACAAATAAAATTAACTGAAAAACAGCAATGGGACACTGTGTTTACAATCTTTCTAATGGGTATTAAAATCTACACCTATATAAAGGAAGAAGCTGTATGTGTTCTAGTTAATGTTGTTGAAACACTTATATTTAATATCACATTAAATAAAATAATGCGTGTAATTGTAACAAAAGTAATCTTTAAGAAGTACTGTTCCATATCTGTGTAAAAGTAAAATTCTACAAATGGTTTTAAAAGTTCAGAGGTATTTCCTGGTAAAATGGTGAAAAACTAGTTGATAGTTAATCTACAATTTGGTACTGTGAATGAACAAGTATACAAGTACTAAACACAGAAAAACTGCACTCAAGAGTTACTTTTGCTTGTCAGGTCTAAATCCCTTGTAGATATATCTGTTGTTAAATCACTTATGTACTGGCATATATATAATTAACTTTGAATATTCATTTACATGTGCTATCTAATATACTCAGTTTTAGTTTCCTTGAGCCATTGTAAAAGATATGAGAGCTAGAATCATGGTAACTATACTTGGGCTTGAACCAAAGCAAAGATGTTAAGTGTAAGAGATACAAAAAATCAATGCTGAAGAAAGCATATAAACGCTTACAAATGTAAAACAATACTCTAAAGATATAAAAATAACTGTAACTTATAATATCAAAATATTAATTTGAGCTTCACACAAGCACACTATTTTGACAGTTTATTTTAAATGTTTACGCCAATAATCCACAGAAAAATTAGCTCAAATTAAACACAATAAATCACAAGATTTTAGACAGATTAAATGGCTCTGACTCTTGAAAATTCCAAGTTTCCCTGACAACACTACAAATAACAAATAAAGATATTCCTACACCTTATGTTAAAGGTTTGCAATAACTTTTTGGCGTACAATTTTGCGTTTATTTCTAAGAAGAGTTGTGCTGCCAACTTTTCATGTTTCAACTATTGCAACAACCTGAACAATTCAGAATTTAAAAGAATGACAAACTTTACTAACAAGTTTTTCTGGTTACAGATACTACGACTGAAAAGAGACCTTGTACTTACCTTAACTACCTACGATAAGGTTCGCTGAGTAGTTCACGTAATTTGACAACCTACTTACTCTACAAAACCCTAAATGCACATCCCACCACACTAACTTATCCCTGCTGCTGGAAACAAGTATGCTAAAAGTTGTATTCAACCATGCGTTTACATACAAAAAAGTAGGTCATCAATATATGTTCGCCCAAAACTAGCTATGTGAGTGGCCTACAAATGATTCATAAAGTTTCGTTCTCAGGGGCGACATTAGGGATGTGAAACGGATGCAACTGCATGGGACCCAAGTTCGTTCTTCCGCTTGCTAATTACCTAGAATTTATGCATGTTATTCACTTTTCCCGTTGCCCAACACAAATGAAATTGAAGGCTTCGTAAGCGACTTCCTTTTATTTCACAAAAACTTTGCGACTGTTTAACAAAAACAAAGGGAGAGAATGAAATGATATTGGAGTAGAGACCGTAGTTTACATATTTAGTTAAGCATGAACAGTATGGCTGTCTGTAAAACAATTGTAATATTGATATTCAAATTACACTAGACAACAGCTTTTTCATGGTATTGAATGAATGGCCTCCTGGGGAATGTCACGTGGCGGAAAAAAGACAGATTTAAAATGTTAGTTTTACACACATCTAGGTAGAAATCCATAATACTTTCTAGACCTCTTCCTCCCTGCCGGAGAGTTGTTTTGTATACTATATTACTTTCTTCTTTTAATTTCACTGTTTCTCAGGTAACATCCCCTTACTTTGATGTATTACTAACGGTATCATGAACCACGATAATGGTTCATAATAGGAATCATAGGAATTGCACAAAACCCTAATAGAACGTTCGGGCAAAAAGAAAAGAAAAAAAAACAAGAAAAAAAACGCATTAAACAGTAAATATTCAGTTCAAACAACACTTTAAAAACTTTACTATTGACTGCTAAGGCTGTACACATATAAAAATGCACAAAAAAGCGGCCCGTTTGTAATCATTATTATTTTTTCTCTACAACAAAACGGCTTGGTATATTGACTCAAATCTTTTGTAGAATACTAAATAAGGTACTGCGAAGGTCGAAGGGGTATTGAAAAGTCGATTTGTTTCTTCTATATTTTACATTAGCTAAAAAACATCATAATTCTAGTTTAAACGATGTTATCATTACCCCTTGAAGTTAGCTTTCTTACAAATATCAGGTGTTCCTTTAAAAAGCTGAAGTACAGGGTGAAACAGGAATTACCAGCCAATAATAAATGAGCATTACATGACTAACATTTAGATACTCCATCCTTTGTACACCATACAATAGGTGTATGAATTGATAGAGTAAAAAAATCAATACACATATACACATAATATTAAATTCTATCATACACATTTGTAGAATAATTATTTTAAAATACACTAAAGTTTATTTAGAGCGAGGTTTTAGTCGTATATGTTTTATTTGAAAAGGCTGCTTTTCTACTGGTAAAATTTTATACGTGCTTAATGGAGTTGTGTCTTAAGGCCAGGTATATATTTGCCTGGTGATGACAACACCTTGTCGAAACGTTCTATATTTGCTGTTATGTTAAACTTATATTAAAGTTTTTCTTCATTACGCATTCAAGCCGTCTCCAACCATTATTAGTCTCAAAATGGGTTCCTCGTCATCGAATTTAACTACTAGCTATGTTTATTATGATTACCATGTATAAAGTTAACTACCATATCAAGTAATCCTTTGCCCATAGTTGAACATAAAAAAGCCAGCAAACAAAATTAATAAAAAAATTGGGAATTAAAAAACCTGCAAATAGGGATCGTAAAATAAGTAAGAAAACAAGGCTGGAGATAGTGTAGACATTATTTCCCCAAACTACAAATCCCTATTTTGGATCCATGCTGTTGCTAGAACTTCATGTGGTGGAGTCAAAATAGGGATTTCTAGTTGAAGTAAATAATGTCTACAGTATCGCCAGCCTTGTTTGCTTAGTTTTTTACGATCCAAATTTTTTATTTATCTTGTAATAATGTATTGACGAATGTCTGCAACTGTTTTAGTTTAATATACCTTTTTCAGTAATATTAACTTGTATACTTTCGCCATGCTTCATAAATGTACGATTGCACTTTCAACCTTGTTCACCCTATGCAGTCCCACATTGTGCACGTACACACACACACACAATTCTATTTTCACACAAAAAAGCCCTTTTAATATAGTTTTATCTGCATCTAAGAATCTGTTTGCCTAGCACTATGTGGCCTATTAAGTTACTTACTAATAATATTCGGGGGAGAGGGGCACTTAGGACTAGATTTATCATGTATGATGTAGCTCTCTAATTTACTCATCAGTTCGTTTTTATCCACTATTTTTCTTATAATATAGAAGCGACTTGTTTAGAAACCTGGCAGCCAGTAACGGAGTGTTTGAATAGTTGTGGAGAAATATAATGTTTATTGAACGTGGAACTCTGTATGCTTTATTAAAATAAATAAAGAACTTGTAACATGAAAATTAAAGCTTTGTTTATGGACAAAACAAGTACGGGAAAAAAAGATTTAAAAAACAAATTACCTGTTTTATTCGTAAACAAAACTTGTACCTGTATGCTTTAGTTAGTGCATAAAAGAAAATAATTTCCATAAGCATGACTTCCTCTAACAGTCGAAACTCTCATGGAAATTAATTATATTGTTACGTCTCCGTTTGTTAATTAACTCTCCGTAAATTCGTTCCGACGAA